GCAAATAATGATTGTCCTTCGTAGTTTCGTATATTTCTCCAGTTAAGCTGGCGGTGCCCTGTTGAACTCCACGGCATTACAATGAGCGTTGGAGTCACAAAGCCCCAGGCGCCCGCGCCTGCATGCGGTAATGCTAGGCTTCTCGCATCGTCCCATTTTCCGAATAAAGATTAGAATCCTCAATATATGGTGATTTTAAACGTATGGATTCTCTTCAGTAGGTCAGTTTCCTTCGAAGAGAGATGCGCGAGGCACGATTTCGTACCTCTCAGCCCCAGTTTGAGAAATGGGCCGTAGCGTTGAGTTGACATAGAGAAGGAATCCGCGTGTTTCCGAGGCAGGTATATTGCTAGATTGGCGAATTGTCTGGGAAGCTCGGCAGAATCATCTCCTTAATACCGTGTATGGCACTGGTCGATTCGCCCCGAGAGATCCAGGGGCGCTGGCCTGTTAGGAATGCCGGCAGTTAGGACGTTCTTTGGTTTGGGTTCTGCCGGTCAGCACTGCTGTTGCTGCTTCAATGGGAAACTCGTGCTCCCCTGGCTGCATCTCTGCCACACCCGCCCACCGCCGCGGAGTTGACGACATTCGCAGATACTACAAGATTGGTCGGGTCATAGGATGCGGTTCTTTTGGCCAAGTGCGAGAATGCGTCGACAGAGAAACTGGACAGATATACGCAGTAAAGGTGATGGAACGGCGGATGAGCGGCAAAGAAAAGATGACCCCAGGGCGACCGTCGAACGAGGCTATGATTCGTTCGGAAGTGGAAATCCTCAAGTCGCTGCACCATGAAAACATTGTTTCTTTTGTAAAGTTTTTTGAAGATAAACATTGTTTTTACGCCGTTCTTGAAAAGTGTGACGGCGGTGAACTCTTTCATCAGATCGTTAGCCGCAGGCAATTCACGGAAGAAGACGCCTCTGCCCTCTGCAGGCAAATGGCGTCTGCTCTTGCTTACCTTCATGGCCAAGGGGTTGTTCACCGCGATGTGAAGGTGAGAACTTAGCAGTGAAACTACAGGGGGGGAATTTCAACAGACGAATGACACTGGCCGTCGCCGTTCTGCACCACCAGCAACATACTGCAGGATCAGTGTCACATCTCTGTGGCACCACCCGCCGCGCAACTACTGCTTGTATTCGCGTCTGTACGCATGCGTTTACAGGCGGAGAACTTTCTTTTTAAGAGCAAGGGAGCTGATTCAATCATCAAGTTGATCGACTTCGGGATGTCTGCGAGGGTTAGTAGTGAACCCCCTCTGTCGTCACAGCACGAGCACGGTCACGTCAGTCAGTGTATGCAAAAGAAGTGAATTTGCTCATCTCCATATTCAAGAAACTGTTTGGTGTTTTTTGTTGCAGTTGCCAGAATGCGGATACCTAACGGATCTGTGCGGAAGCCCACACTACATTTCCCCCGAATTAATCAGGTGCTTAGAACGTCACGCACTCTTTGCACAAACTGCTGCTTCGTGCAGAAAAAGGCCAGGCAACGAGCAGCAACAGCCGTATCAGCAGCAGCTAACTCATACCATGGGTCACCTTCACACTAGACAATAGTAGTGTTTCAATGTTTCTTACATCCCGTGGCCGCAGGGGAGGGAAGTGCATGCGGCTCATGCGAACACTTGTATGTCTTACTTGCAGCAAACGCTACAACCAAGGGGCTGACATGTGGGCTTTCGGAGTGATGATATACCTAATGCTTTTTGGGAGATATCCCTTTGAGGGAAGCAAAGCGAGTGCCATAGCGGTGGGTTAATTCTCAACGACTTGTTGTGGCTGAAATCTCGCGTTTATTTTTATTATTATTATTAGTATTATTATTATTCTTCTTGCTGGCGGTGTTGGGCTTGATGTAAATGTGTGTATGTGTGTATTTGTGTGTGTATATATGCGCCAGAGAGAGGTGCAAAGCAAGCAGCTTAACTGGTCTCGTGCGGCCTGCCCGTTCTTAACAGATGCTGCTATTGATTTCTTGAGTCGCCTGTTGGACAGAAACGAGAAAACGCGGCTCACTGCAACTCAAGGTAATTAAATAAAACTAAAACTTATATCGTGCATCGTGTTGCGTTACGCCCTCGTGATAAGAGCATACATAAATATCCCGGATCTCAAGCTTGCGGATAGTTTCAGTGCAGTTGCGTCATTTATATGCCCAAGGAACTTACATGCACGCTGCGCGTATATATACTGTCAGTCGATATATATATATATATATATATATATATATATATATATATATATATATATATATATATATATATATATATATTAGGCAAATATGCGTTGAATGAGGTCTGTTGTGTGGATTGTGTTGTCCGGTTTCAGCCTTGGCACACCCATGGATTTCACAACCGTCGCCTGACAAGGCGATGTCTGTTATTGGCAAAGATAAGCTGGAGCTTGCACGGTGAGTTGTGAATTTCTGAATTTCCACTTATTTCGGGTGGAAACACCAGCAAGAACAAGTGATGTTTCCACTTTTTTAATGTGGGTTGGTGGGTAAGAATGAAAAGGCGAAATTGTGCAAGTTTGCAACTTCGCAACCCACAGGATCAACCTGCTCGAAATGTGTGTGTGTGTGTGTATATATATATGTGTGTGTGTGTGTGTGTATGTGTGTGTGTGTGTGTGTGTGTGTGTGTGTGTGTCTGATGTAGACGGCTTTCTGTTGACTGTGAGCATCAAGGCAGTCAAACATCGACAAGGAAAAATTTCAAGATTGACAAGCCGCCGAAGCAGGTACACCAGCACAGCCAGTAGAGCCAGTATCTCCCTCGCACTCTCGACGTAGCGCTGTGGACCGCACGAGGGAATGAACATTCGTGCAAAATATTTGTTTGTGTGCTTCGCCTGCTTCAGCATAATCGTCAGCAGGCATCCGACTCCGCTGATCACAATAGCCGAGAGCAGAATGGGGAGTATGACTCTGGATAGAGGGTGTTGATGAGGACCGTTAGTAAGACAATGATGATTCGTTCCACTGCAGTTCAACATTTTCAACAGATAGAAGAGTTGCTGCAACTTGCGTACATGGGACCGTTACACTGCGCGAAACACGCACACGGGATAACCACTGCAACCGAC